GCTCCCTGGGACACGGCCACTCCTTCTACCTTGTCTTGCAACTCACTCTGTCCTCTCCCAAGTTTACAGCCTGTTAAAGGTACTGATAAGGACACCATTGTGTTGAAAAGTTCCCAGGATGCATCCAACAGAATGTTTTAGGAACCATATTGCTTAACTCTCTGATGCCTCCAGGTGAGGTACCTACATATAAAAGTGATTCACAAGACTGAGATAGAGCATATTGAATAGGGACAGTTTGATTCCTAGGATTCAATTTGCAGCAACCCAGTGGTCTGTATGAACACCTAAATCAAGAAATGGAATGAGCCATTTCTTCTGGTGTGTTGTTTCTTATTTTAAAAAGAAACGCTATTCTTGGATATATTTCCATGAGATTATTAATTTGTTTTGTATTGCTCTTGATTTGTAGAAGTTGGTGTGAATCATAAAGATCTGATACAAGTATGCACTTCTGTGAGGTTTAAAGAAGCCAGGGTCTGTAAGAAGAGGTTAAACCCTTGTCTTCCTGTCTGTTTACAGATATTATTATATTATATGAGGGGATAAAAGTGAGACACTGCAGTATGAATTTTCTTAGGGTACAATATTAAGAACAAATTGTAATATTCTACTTCCATTCCTGTTGCGGAAATAACCCATTTCCAGTCATTTTCTTCTTATATCTCTGTGCAACCTTCTGCCTCAGTCACGACCTTTTCGTCAGTCAAATCTTTCAGCAGTTCTTTAAAGAGAAACCTACCTTTTGTCTAGATGGTTTCCACTGATTGAATAATCTGACTTGATAACTCCAGATGGGTAACTTCAAACATTTCAGTTTCCTACTTCCCTGCTAGCATAAAGTAGGTATTTGCCTGAGATGTAGTAGAGTCCTGAAAGCAGGATTTTGTTGGTAGGAACTGTACAAGTACAGAATAAAAAGGCATGACCTTATGGGGAGAATTTATGCACCCCAGCTGGAAGACCGAAATACTTTAAACAAGGCAGCAATTAACTGCTAAGGGTTAATGTTTATTCTGATGTGTCATTTCCATATTTTTTTATTCTGACCTACCTTATCAGTGTGATAAAATGGAATGACAGCCACTCAAAATTGTCATTATGACAGAAACAGTTATGTACAAGGTATTTTAGAAAATAATTTGTGAATCTCCTTTTTTTTCCCCTTAACAGAGATTGAATGTGTCAGTGCCTTCAATGGAGATACTTTATTCCTCATACATTGTCTAGAGGTAAAGACCCTATTTCTGGTGGCTATTTTCCATCCTCTCAGGTGGATGGTTTCCAGCCTCATGGAGATCATGGAAATGTTTGAAAAAGGCTGTCTGATTTCAGAAAAAACAGAATTAGACCAAGCAAATAAAAACCAAATGTATGATGACAAAGTTAGCTAGCTCAAAAGAAAAGTGTTTAATTATTTAACCAAATAAATATCATATATATATATATGTTGAATCACTGTGCCTATCTGTTATAGTGTCTAGATTTTTATTAATTCAAAATTCAGAGAATCCAACCTCACTGGACTCCCAACTCAGAAAAGGGAACACCGTTAGTTCAGCAGCAGTGACTCAAATCTGCAGCAATGTAGGTTCCCTGTTTTAGTTTTGTCAGTAATTTTAAATTAAATCCTATTCTTGAGGGATTTAGAACTTGGTGATAAAGGCTAAGGCCATAACTTGGCTTAGGCTGAGATTATGGAGTGATAATCATTTTAAGGTAGGAATAGTAAATATATACAGGTGATAATTGTTTTAAGTGTAGGAATGCCAAATATACACAAGCTAATTTTATACACATACACACACTTACATTTGTGGTTCTTACTGGAAAGGAGAAGTATGAGGGGGAGAAAATTGCTGTCTGGTTTAATTTAGCTTTAGAAGGACATTGCAAATCATAAGAGAGTTTTGTGCTATCATTTCTACTACTGTCTGCTCTTTGTTGTGTGTTTATGTTCTCATTTCTATGTCATTTGGAAACAGCAGAATGAAAGATTCTTATTCGAATGAATTAGAAAAGAAAAATAATTTTTCTTATGATTTTATTTTTAATCAGTCACTTTCTAAATTTTCCATTAAAAATAATTTTGTTATAATTCTCTCAGCAAAACCAGATGAGACTTTTTATTTTGTATCATAAAATAACTTAAGATGAACTGGAGTCTAGATGTTTGAAGGTATAGCCAGATAAAAGAGGAAATCTGTAAGGACTCAAATTTGACAAGTGTTGGTGCTGGTTTTCAGGTTTTGGTTTTCATTATTGTTTGGTTTGTTACTCCAGGTATCCTAGCTGTTTTTCCTGTCTATTGCATTTTTAATAAATAAGAACTACCCCTTCCTAGCCTTTGAGACTGTTCTATTTTTCCTTCATCTCTGTGGAAGTAGTGATGATAAGGAAGTATTCTCACAACTCCTTGTGTAGTGCAGAGAAGCCTAAAATAGCTCTGAGCTGTCTTCCATTTCTCAAATCCAGCACTTCAGTGCAACAGAATTAAGTCTGCATGGCACTGAGTATGAGGACTAATTATTGGCAATGGATGTGTCACCTTGACCTGGGTCCATAGGCATTGATCCTGGAGTTAGCTGGGTTATTTCAGTTGCATTCCATGGGGTAGACATGCTTCTTATTCCCTGGTTTGATGAACAACTACTCAGAGTGAGAGAAATGAAAGAGTTATTTTAGTGTAAACCAGGGTTTATTCTACTCAGTCTCTAATAAGATTTGAGAAGTAAGAAGTGGATTTATGAAATCTGTAGGCTTGTTCCTTACTTAAATGAGTTATAGCAGAGAAATACTAAGCCACCGTTTGCCCTCAAACACTATTCTATATCTTAGTTGAGGAATAATGAAATATTACCCTGTTATTACATACTGATCAGCATTTTACCCAGTAATGTAAACTTCTGTAATGTAATCTTTCATTCTGGTGCTCCAGTAGTGGTTTTCAATAATTAATTCTGATTCACACTGCCTTTGTACTGACTTCAGTGGACATACTCAGATTCTGCATGAGTGCAAGGACTAAATCAGAACTACCAGCACCTAGTGACATCTTCGTGATTTTTTTGAGTTATTGCTGGAGTATTGCTATGATATATCCCAAACAAGGGCCCTGAACTTTTTGTCCTAGCTGACACAGAAATACAAGAAGAAATTAGGTCACTATCCCAAAAAGCTGAGAGCCTGAAGAAAGGAAAGATTCTATAACATAGGCTGGAAAGTGGTGATAAGAATTGTCTGTTTTCAAAATCAGAAGTAAATTTCCTTTTTTCTTTCTTCCTTTTTTTTTTTGTTTGTTTTTTTGTTGTTGTTGTTGTTGTTGTTGTTTTTGTTTTGGTTTTGCTTTCTTTTTGATACTTGGAATCAATATAGCAGAAAAGAATTCAAGTTTAAAAAACCCTAAAAATTATTGAAGAACACAACCTGCTCAGAGGGTCAAGATAATGCTCCTGTCAAGTGATGAGGTTTTATATTTGACTGCTAATAGCGATTGAACAAAACGTTTTTCATCCTTTTTTCTTTTACCATTTATAAATAATGAATAGGAATATTTTATTTGCCTTTTCCCCCATTTTTCCTTGTTTTTTTTTTTTTTTTTTTTTTTTTTTTTTTTTTTTTTTTTTTTTTTCTCACTCTCTCCTTTTTTTTTTTTTTCTGAAATACCTTCTATCAAGGTAGAAAGTATAGATACTGTTGGCTACGATTTTTAAGGTTAAATCTGAGTATGATATTCCATCTGTGCTTACTTGTCCTTAAGATGATTCTGCAGCTCAGACTAGAATCCTGACTAGCTTTACTGCTTTTCCAGCTTGTACTCTTAAGGTCTCCTTAATCTTATTTAAGTCTACAACCAGCTTACATTTAGCTGAAAACATGAGGTGGTTTTGTGTAGGGAAATGTCAAGCCCTCATCTCACGCTACAGTAGAGCAAAAACACTTGCTCCTCAGCTTTCCTTGGTTTTAAAACTCCCTTACCTTATAAAGTAAGTAACATGCTGCCATCTGTCGGCAAAGAGGAATTTTTTTATATGTTATTTTCTTTTTAGTAAAACTACAGGTATCTGAACAGTGTAAATTTTCAAAGGACCATCCAATTATATCTTATTTACTTTAGGATCACTGTGAGATCTTTCTTGTTTGAACTGATACAAAGTCCTACCACGAAGCTCAACTACAATCTCCAAATTCCTTTTCAACTAAAGGCCAGAAGAAACGTCAATTTCTTTAAAGACAGAGAAAAAGGTATTGTAACAGTGTACCCTCTCAAAGGGCTTTGAATGTCCTTCAAAACCAACAACAACAACAAAAAAAGCAAAAGTATTTTCCCAGATAGTCTTTTGATCCTGACTGAGCAACTGAAACAACATAAATGTTGAAGGAACTGCATGGAGGTGCTGCAAACTCAGAAACATGTGAGGAAGAGAGCTTTTTTTTTTCTTCTTTTCTTTGTTTTCAAAATAGTATGTTTTTAAGAAGAAAGACATAGAAACAAATGTGTAACTGTTCAGGTGGCTCTAGATGATTTGCACCACTGAATTTTGTTTCCTTCTTCATCTCCAGTTAAATCCATTACGTACACAGTCATATCACACTGCTGAAGAATACCTCTTCATGATTTCATGATGGGACACCAAAAAGGAAAGAAAAAACAACCTGTTTTCTCAGCTGAGAACTGCAACTTTGTTCAGACTTGGCCTACCTGGCTGGAATGCTAGCCAGTTTCAGTGCTGTAGTGACATTCTGCAACCACAGGGAATAGGTTTTACAATGAAATAGCTGATTGAACCAATATAATTTCCAACAGCACATAATGACCATTTGTAAGGTGAAAGGGTATATAACGTGTTTATAATTTATACTTCACTTGCACATAAGCAAATGTAGGAAACAGTCTATGTACATGTGGTTAAGTAATTGCTCCCAGTTATTGAATCCATGACATTTTGAGTGACCATTTCAGAGTGTGTGCAGCAACTATTAAACTGCTCCTTTGGCAGAGTGCTTGAAAACTGAAATACAAATGGAAATCCATTTTGCTATCCTGACTCTTCTGTTGTCTCTTATACTGAACAAGTTGAATATTTATGAAATACTAGTGTAAATGCTGATGCTGCTTTATATTCACTTGTTATAGTAAATATGAACCTGCTCAAAACACAGGGCAGTATCAGATCTTACAGGTCATAAAAGTGTGTTTAGTAATACATAGTTCCACCCCACCCTTAGGAAAATTGATGATACACCACTGCTGTTTTGTTTTCAAATTACTGTTTCCTTTGTCTCAGTCTTATATTTTCTTTCTAATACCCTTGTTTTCTAACATATAAGAGCAGTACAATGAACTTGTAGTCTTGTTGCTAGGCTTCAAGCTGCATTTATGCAGTCCTATGAGACACTATTCTCATTTTTGAATTCTGAATCAAGTCCCAAGGCAACAGTGTCCTGTTTCTTAGCAACACAGATGGGTAGATTGTTTATTCCAGCTCTTTTCTACAATAGAAGAATAAACAATTCCCAGAGTAAGGATGTGCTGCAAGTTTGCCCCTTCACTTAACTTCCCTTAGAAGAGAGGAAGGAGAACCCTCCTGTGCTAGAGCAAATGAAGTTTGTCTGGAAGTCCCTGTTTTTGCAGAGTGATGAGTCAATCTCCGTCTTTTCTGTTCTTAGCATCTCTTTCGTGTCCTTATTTGCCACTGTGCCTGTGGATCTGCAGGTATTTTTGATCAGTGAGTTTCAGTTCCTAGGATATAAATGTATGCATGGAATATCAATGGTAACAAAGGGGGTAGAGGTGGGATGTGTGAAAACACAGACTTTTTGCTTTGGTGAAATTAATGGAGAATCATAGAATAGCTTTAGAAACTTCCTCTGGATGCAAAACCTTGGGTTTAGGAAGAAAATTAGGGCTGGAGAAAATAGGTGGAAGATTGAGAGGTAAGGAGGAATGGGTATTCATGTAACTCATAAGTTAGTGTTGTATGTTACCCAGTGGATGAAAAGAGTTTGTGGGAACTTAATTTATCTCCAGTGAGCTGCCTACCCAAATCCTTGTTCAGAAACAGTTTTTTTGGTAGGGATACATTTCCATTTGCCCCTATCCTTCAATGGACCACAAGCTTCTTCCAGAAAAAAACCCCAAAACATTCTATCCTCAGAATGAATAAGCACAAAGTAGAGAAAGTTGTAATGTTATAGCTTTCCTTCAGGTTTCCTGAGCATTGAGTACTAAACAAAGCAGGAAAAAATTGTTTGTATTGTGTTGGAGCCTGTTGCAATACCCTTATGGTCTACATATTTCTTGCAGATTTTCGGGGCATACAAGGAGCTCTTGTGTAAGAAAGGTAACAGAGTATGGGAATGGCTTTTAAATCACAGTGACAAAACAGATATAACACAGTATCTAGCTTGTGCACAGAGTTAAATACTTTACTGCCTATTTAGTGTGTTAATGCTGCTCCAGTGGTCTTTCACCCTGCTCAAAGGTGAAGGAAAGGGCCCTTCTGTACCTCTGGGCAAGATGGTGAAGCTTGAGTGGCACTTCTGATGAGATAGCCCATAGCAGGACATAACACCTTGTTCTATATCAGGACAGCAATGGGGCAGCTCTAATGAACATTGTGGCCTGGGTGTGTCCAGGAATGCAGAGAAAGATGTAACTGCATCGGGAAGCATAGAGACCAGGGCTTCAACATTTCTCTGATTTAAGATTAATTTGGTCACTTCTACTTGTGCAACCTGAGAGCAGTGTGAGCCCAGTGCTGCCCCTCTAACCCCAACCCCCCTGTTGTGCTGCCCTGCATGTGCACAGGCTTAGTATCCTGTCAAGGTGTTTAATGAGGCAAGAATAAAAATGTGGAGAGGGTGTATTGGTGTTGTTACTTAGTGATGGGTATTTCAGGCAAAACAAAAGTCAGAGCTTCAGTTCTTACAGGCTGGTATGAATGTGTAAATTCCTGAACATCCATGCTTTTGGCTCCAGATGGGGTTTCTCTAGGGTTAGGAGTCGTCTTCTTCAGGTTACTTTGCAGAACTGAAAGCAGGTATTAAGAAGTAATACTTCATTGAAGCAGAGGTACAATATAATATTAAAGTACAATTACACATTTATCTTCCATGAATGTACTAGGTTATGCAGACAGGACTAGCTACTGAAAGTACCAACAATCATAATTGTTCTGTTGTATACGTGTGTTCATCTTCCACCAAGAAAAGAGAAAAATTTTATTTGAAATTCAAAGCAAACTTTCTTCAAGCCCTGACTAGCCTTTCTCCCAACAACAAACTTCAGTGCAGCAACCCAAAGCCAATACAGACACATGGCTAAAGCAGCCTTCTGATTTTAGCTTCCAGCTCTATAGATCATCCAACACTTCTCAGAAGTCACAAGGATGGAGGAAAGAGGAACTGAAACTAAAAAGTACCCCTGAGACCACAGCCATGCAAGAGCTTTCTGGCTTAGGTCCAGGCTACTCCTTCCTCTTCCAGAAAAGAGAAGGGACTCTCCCGAGCTTGTCACTCACTTTCCACAGATAACTCTATGAGGCCAAAATACTCTTTGTGAAGAATACCAAATATAAGACTGGTGTGTATGAAGACCCCAAACTACACAATTATAGGCAGGTAAAGTGTCTGGCTCCCAGACTCTTACAAAGCAAATACAATGAAATAGATGCGATGCTTGGAAATCAGTAAATGAAGCCACTAGATGTCAGTCTCATTAGCAAAAAAAAACCCCAAACACTGCAGTTAATACTGCAGTTGGGATCTAACTTAGTTAACTGTGTTGTAGGCACAGATTATTTGCCAAAAGATTTCCATAGGGAATACTGAAGAATGCAGCCTTAGACCTCTATGGGGGGGAACTGATGCCTTGGAGTTTTTGATTTTTTAATTTTTATAGACTTTAGAAGTAGTTACGTAGTGAATGCAGATTTTAAATGTAGCTTTATTATATTTCTCATGGTATTATATCTTTTACCAGTATTTTCCAGTAAAAGTAATGTCCACATACCAAACCCTGTCCCCTATCAATCCCTCAAAATTCCATTAGCAGTTTAGTCTTCTTATCAAGGTAGAATTGCAGAAAAACACCTTAACATCTGCACCAGAAGATGTAAACATGGGCACAATGACTTTCAAGCCTGGAACTTTGGAAGGCCTCCAAGGACTCAAAGTGATGAGAAGAGGATGAAGATAATGAAAGAGGGATCCCAAACTCCCCTGGACTCAGTTCCCGAGGACGTGTGCCGAGGGGTGGAACGGGGCAGAACCAGGGGCTGGATGAGCAGGTATTGAATGGACATCATTATAAGATCATAGAACCTGTGCCCAAGGGTGCGTGCAGCAGTTTATATTCCTGGGGCTGGAGGCTCATTAAAGCTTCTGCTCTCCTTATTTTATCTCCAACCTAAACTGACCTGGAGTCTTTTTTCCTCGGTCTTTTAGGCAACAGTTTAATGTGCTTTGTAGTTTTTATTTGGGTAAAGCAGACTGAAATAGGGCTAGTCAGTTCACCTTTACCTTGCTCACTGTGACATATCTGCCTGTACTTTCTGCTTTCCTTGTATAAATAGCTAGCAGTTGAATTGCTCGACATGCTTGATGGAAGTATTGTACAGTAATATTTCCATTTAGCAGCCCTAAATGAGACCAGCATCTCATTCTGCTAGCTTTTTTGTTCATAAGGCAAGGATCTGTTCTTTCTTCACAACACTGATTGTGTACAAACTGTGTACAAAAAAGTTGAAAGGAAATGTAAAAGTTCAAGGTACAATTTGAATCAGTGCATTCCCTTTCAATCAGTGAATTTAACTTTAAATCTGCTAAGGAAGAGAAATATTCAGTCTAAATTGTGGTTTTCTTCATAGTAGTTCTTTGGTTTATTTGTCTTTGTAATATGTTTTAAAATCAGATTCATTATTCTATCCATATTCAGTTATCTTTTCATTACAAATGTTCCTATCTCCTCTGCTCTGAGCCCTTCAATGAATCTTACCCAAAGAGCAATCCAATAAACTTACTAGTTCTAAAATAGGAAAGAAAATTGAGACAGTAAACAAAACTCTTTCTGTCCTCTAAAGCAAACATTTATACCTGGATATGCATTTTACTAAAGAACTACATAAATGGCATATAAAGTTGCATTTCCATGGAAAACAGTATTTTCTTCCTCATTCTGTCTCCATAAGAATATAAATCTATAAATCATATCTTAGTTTATTTGCCATCTGCTATAGCAGGAATTTAACTTCCTTGTTCTGAGTTTACTTAAAGTAATTAAAAGCAAACCTCTAGTTAGCTGTCATAGCCAGAAGAAATTTGTCCAACAATACTCTATCTCAATGAAAATTTGCTTTATTTCAAGATTATACAAATTTTCATGATAGCAATTAGATGCTAATTTCTCTTTAAACCTGCTAAACAAAAATACGTTGGTTTTTTTTCTCAAATCTTGACCAAAAATATAAATTTGCAAAACCTTGTGGCGTTCTCTGCTATGCAGTTCTGATGTGTATCACATCCATCAACCCACAGTTAAATATTCATTACAATCGAGTTTTCAGCATGTAACTTCACACACTATTTTTTCCCTCCCTGGTTTCACAGGGTATGCATCTGGCTGCTGAACCTCACCATGTTGATTTTATCTTGTTCAATTAATCAAGGAAATATATCTTCCTATTCATGCAGATGATGCTGAGACCTCCAGAACATGATGATTATTGATTTTCCATCTTGTATCTCAGAAGAAACCACATAGGTAAGTCCTTGGCAACATGCATGTTCATTGTCTTAAAGAAATCAGGAACCCGTGCTTGAACAGTAGGGAGCAGGAATAAGAGCATTGAACCCACAAAACTGGCTTAAGTGCCTCAGGTGGAACTTATAGACCAAACGTCAGGTTTTCCCTGTAAGTTTCAGAGAAAGTCTGCTTCCTAACTTTAAATAACAGACTCAGATCACAGAAAATACACTAGTTTACTAATACAAAGACACTTAGATTTAAGGATACCTGATACAAGAAGGATTACTAGCTGAAAACTGCTTGTCAACATCAATTTTTCTGATAAGACTTCAATTTCAATCTCGTAACGGAGGTTTATTCCCAGGCAACTGATTCAAGTCCAGTGTCTGCTGCTGTCATGGTAGATGCAACAGTCCATTTCTGCATCCCTACTGTGCTGGATAGTTCCCAGTGGGATGCCTGCCCTTCAGGGTAGTTTCTATAGCTCCACCTCTTATAAGGATAGCTTTTTTTAAAATGATTAACTACTCACTAGTTACAATACACACACATACACACCATGTAGCATACAACACTATTTTCTTTGCAGATTCACAGCAAAGGCCACAGAATATCTTTTTGTTTATGATGTTTACTGTGTATGTCTTGGTGTTCCTTTTTCTAGATCCTATCTGATTAACAATAAGCATAGCTTTTCAAATCCTAGAGTGCAGACAGTTTTTCCTATAGCTTATAAATGCTGTCTGCTTAATATTTTCAGATCCTGGACTTGATTCACTGAAAGGAAAGCAAAAGCACTCTGGAGATAAGAGAGTTCTTACATACAAGCCTTGTGGAAGCAAATGGGATCCACAGCTACTACGACTAAAGAGTCCCTGGCCACCTAAATCTGCTTCATTTATGGTTAGTGACATTAAGAGACAACTTCTAGTTTTTCAAAATTATTTTGAAATAATAGTAATAGTAATAGTAATTCTTAATTATATTTCTTTTCTAACATTTTGGACCATGCAATCTTGAGAGGGCAGCTGGCTTATCCTAAGGGAAATGTCATATTACTGGAGATCTAGAGACACGGACCATTAATTTTCTTAGCTTTTCAAGAATACAATTCAGTTTCCAGCTCTTGGTGACTTTTGTGGAGCTGAAGAAATAATCTCTTGGGGAACATTTTCTTATTTCAGCCTTTAGCAGAAGGTTATACAGCATTGTATGTGGTAATTCATGGGATTAAGATGTCCACATTAGACTGTTCAAAGACGCAGAGTATTTCAGAACATGCAGGTACTCAGTGTGTGCTTTAATTGTTTGTATATGTATACCAAACACCTAAACGTAGAGATCTCCAAAAGCAGAATACGTCTATTTTAATTATAAAACAGTTCCCATTTGCATAAAAAGTTAAAATGTTTGGAGAACCAGTTTAGATAGTGACAGATTCTGAGTTATGAATGTAACTCTACCGAATAGCAGCAAGTCAATAGGCACATTTGTAAAACACATGAATTGGCTGAACACAAATGTCTCTAGGCATTTCAACATATTGTGCTCTGAGTAAAGACTGAAACATGTCTGAGAATGAATTCTTTGATGAACTTGTTGAAGATCATCCTTATGACAGCCACTCCTGTTTCATTTTGTAGATCTGTACTTTGCCCACAACAACACAGACTGCAGCGTTGTGCTCACACTGTGTTCCTGGATCATGTGGAGGAAAAGCTTTGCCAGCTGCATCAGGGAGAGGCAGGCAGAGATGCAAGTGTTCATTCTGCTGTGTTAGGGACACTGGATCTAGCCTTATCCAGAGGGCAAACTTAGAACTGATTGATAGGTGCTGGCAGAATCCATAACTCCATTGTTCCAGAGGGTTAGGAGGACACTGATGCCAAATTAAACTGAATCCAAGCCTTCATTTGAGAGCTAAAAATGGAGACAGCTGGGCTGCCTTGCACTACTGAAAGGTTACTATCAAGTGAGATCCTTGCAGCATCCAGGGTGATCCTGGTTTACGTGGGCTCGGTGTATCCATGCAGACAATGTAGCATTGTCTCAGAACGTGAGTTGCAGTGCTGGTAATCTGTGCAAGATGAAGAAAAGAAAATGTGCTGGTCACAACACTGACCTTAGCTGGAATAGCTTGTCCTTCTTGGAAAAATACTCTTGTCTGATCAGAGTCGTCTTCTGCTATAGCCAGGATCTATATTGCTGATTGTCAACTCTCTTGGCAGAGATCATCTTGGGAAGTAATTGCCACTCAAAGTAGGGTCATGGTGGATGGCTTTCTAAGACAGGTAGAAAGTAAGACTGCTTTTTAATCTGTTAGGAGACACTTTTTTACCTTCCAACACACCTCTCCTTCAGTGTTCCTGAGCGGCTGACACTTAATAGTGTCCCCCAACACATATCTCCATGACTGGCATCCAAAGTCCAGGGAGAAAGAGAAAAATATCCATGAAAACTAGAATTTTCTACTTCCATCTTGTCTAAAACAAACTTCTCATGGGGAAATCTTGATCTTTTCACTGATAAAACCAATATTTTCTGTAAAACTGCATTTTCTTCCCATCATGTTGGATACTAGCCTGATGTGACCCTACAGGATGATGACTGTATTTAAATGCCAATGTCTTTCCTTTCACAGGAACTCCAACCTGAGCAGCATAGTGCTAAGAATAAAGCAATGTGATATGGACTCCACACCATTATCCACACTAACCTACCAGTTTCTTGGTCCCAAGAAATATGTTCATGCTACAGTCGACACTAGTGGTCCTGAGCAGCCTTGTGTCTATTCTGTGAGGTCAGAAAAGAGCTCTCTGAGAGAACTGACACACTTGTAACAAAGGAGGCCTAGGTCCTTCCAACAGTGCAAAACCTGGCATAGAGGGTAACAGCCTTTATCAGTGATGTTCAAATGTTTTAGCAAATATCTGTTTCTAACTGTACATACCAGCACAGTACAGAAACATACTAAATGCACTTTATCTGGTTTATTAGTATTTGACCTCTTTTCCTTATTTCCTGATTTTTGAAATAACATGGAAATTAACATTATCTCTTTCTACTTAACAAATTCTTCTCTATACAGATTTCTCTGTATTGTTAAAAATTACTTACCAATGCTTCCAACTAATGAATTTTTTTTTTCTAACCAGTCCCTCAGTCATCTGGAAGTAAAAGAAATGGCACAGCCAATCACACCGAGTAACTAGAGGTGCTGACTGCCATCATGAGCTTACTTTGGACACTCCCTGTCCTCTGCACCCAAGAGCTGGTGATCAGCAGACTGTGCCAAAATAAACCCTCACATACTCCCTCTTCCATCAACAGAAATAGCTGCTTTGCTCTTGACTCTAATTACTAGTAACTGAGAGTGTGTGGGTGTTGAGTGCACCCAGGGGGAAGCATTTTTTGTAATAGTCTGCATTGTGGAGGGCTCTGGAGGTATACCCAGAGCCGGATTTGGACTCAGATCTCTAGACTAAAACTGTAGCTGCATGGTAAATGCACACCCAGACAGTGATTTAGCAAAAAAATTAGATATTGGATCATTGTGCCCATTCCAAATGACTGTGAGTTATATACCACGTTGGAAAGCTTGGGACATGAGTAAGAATCCCTTAAGCAATGATCTTCTAGCTCTGTCTGCACTGTTGTGGAGTTCAGTGTTTCTCCAGGATTTCCCAGATGTAACACTGTGTGGAAAGAGAAATATGTAAGATGTTGAGAACAAAACCGATATGCTTTTTTGTTAAAGAGAACTTCCTGCCAATTGCATTGTATCTACAGGCAACATTTGAAGTTTGCAGTTCCCCAAATCTGGGTTGGAAAGAGTGAAGTCCCCCGTCTTCCTGTAAATTACCCATTTTCTTAATGCCAGACAAACCCAGCCAAGTGAAAGGTGCTTTCTCTTTGCATGGCAAATGAAAGACTTGGGACAAATAAAGTTTCAGAGCTTGTTAGATCTGGAGCTCTTGTTGGTAGACATAATCTTAATATAATAGCATTGTATCCATACTAATCATGGATAATGATAAAATTCCAGCTGGGCTTCACCATAGTAATAGGAGTGACACTAATGAAGTGTCACATGTTGGAGTCCTTCAAAGGAATGCTATTGATTTGGTCTTTTTACGGATGGAAAAAGGAGGCACAGAGCAGGTAAATTGACTGGTCCAAGAGCATGAGGGAAGAGTCAGTTTCAGGCAAAGTCTTACAGGTAAACTTGATCTCTTATAACACGTGGGAAGGCACTTCCAGTGTTCCAAAGGAAAAGAGGAATGAACTGGTCTTAAACATCTGTGCATGACACCTCATCTTTAAAAATATGGATGTCAGAGTTATGCCGTTGTTCTGACCCATAAGATGGGGGTAGCCTCTTGCACTTGCCTGCAGTGGGGAGGGAGTCACACGGACATGTTATAGACACTCATTTCCTGGTTCAGGCATCTTCACTCTTTTATTAAAGAGTCAGGAAAAAACCACACTGCTACTCTGCAGTGAGGAGAGAGCAAGTTGCTAGAGCCTCTAAGTAAAAAGGCTATTAAGGAAACAAAGGTACCTGCAGTAAATCTGTGTATGGAAAATCCTCTTTACTGGCAAATATAAGAGATATCCTGAGAATCTAACTGAAAGGTGCGAACCTAAGAGTTTCTTGAAAATCCTGGCTCAATTTGTTCACCTGCTTTGAGCGATTATTATATATTACATACCTTTACCATATGTGACATATATAAGAAAGTACAGCTGTTACTGTTAAGAACACCATGAAGAAGTATAAAGGTCTTTTTTCTTTGAACAGCACATCCTTGCAATGAAGCAGCTTAAAGAGCATTACTGCTACTGACAGGAAAAACATATTGCTTCCAAATTCCTACAGGGGTACGACATCCAGCTGTAGCTGTTGTGAAGGGCAGCTCTAGAGCTGTGTAGTGGTTTGACCCAGGCCAGATGCCAGGTACCCACTAAAGCCACTCTCACTCTCCCTCTGCAACTGAACAGAGGAGACAAAAAAAACAGCTAAAGATTCATGAGTTAGATATCAACTGGGAGAGGTCAGTTACTAATTACCTTCACGGGCAAAACAGACTCAAAGTAGGGATATGATTTAAATTTATTACTAACAGGATAAGAACTAAAGAGAGAGAAATAAAATAATCTTAAAAATACTTTCCCCCCTTCCTTCCTTCCCTCCTTCCTTCCATGTTCTCCCTGCTACCCACCCAGTGGTGCAGGGGGATGGGGAATGGGTGTTGTGGTCAGCTGTTGTTTCTGCCGCTGCTCAGAGAGAGGAGTCCTTCCCCTGCTCCTGTGGGGTCCCTCCCATGGGAAACAGTCCCTGATGGACCTCTCCAGTGTGAGTCCATCCCTCAGGCAGCAGTTTTTCATAAACTGCTGTCCCGTGGGTCACTCCTCCATGGGATGCAGTTCTTCTCAGATGAGATGTATCAATGTGGGTCCCCCAAAGGGGCCACAAGTCCTACCCAGAAAAAACCTGCTCCAGCATGGGCTTCCCTCTCCATGGGCTGCAGGTCTCTGACAGGACCCTGCTCCACCTTGGGCTTCCCATGGGGTCACAGCCTCCTTCATTCATCCATCTGCTCCAGCGTGTGCTCCTCCACGGGCTGCAGGTGGGTCTCTGCACCCCGATGATCCTCCATGGGCTGCAGGGGCACAGCTGCTCCACCATGTTCTCCTGCAGGGGCCTCAACTCTGGCTGCTGGAGCACCTCCTGCCCCTCCTTCTCCACCAAGCTTGGTGTCTGCATTGTGGTTCCCACATTCTCACTCTGCTCTTCCCTGGCTGGAATTCTTTCTGCACAACAACTTTCTGTTCTTAATTCACAGAGATGTTACTATCACTCCTGATTGCCTTGGCCTTGGCCAGCGTCAGGAAGTCCATCCTGGAGTTGGCTGGCATTGGCTCCATGGGACAGGGGAAGCTTCTAGCAGCCACTCCTGTAGACTCCTCCTGCTATCAAAATGCAGCCACAGAAACCCACTACAAGCTGCCATCCAGCTGTGCAGCTAGAAGCCCCCATTACCCTTCCAGGCTTACCAGTACAGTGGCTTGGTCTTAAGATGCTGGTGATGCTGCTGTACAACACAGAGATTTAGATGCTCTCCAGAGAGCAGTTCTATTTCCACTGCAGTGTTGGCTTGGTGAATGCCAGCATCCAGCAGAGCCCAGCAGGAGTTCAGTGTCACTGACCTTTTGCTGTGTCTCTGTACCATTGCCCATGACACTGATTTACAGGTGCACATGAAAAAGCTCAGCTCCCAAGCAGAGTGCTGTGGCAACTCTTCATGTCAGCCCCAGAGTAGCATCTCCTTGTCCCTCTGTTGCACACAAGTTGTTCCAGAGCCCAAAGGAGCCTGTGACTGCCCTGCAGAGATATTTGCCATTCAGGCTGATCTCCATCTCCTCTGACACCTTTCACAAAGTTCTTCAAAGGAAGCGGAGTGTGGTTTTTGTATCAAGGGCTGGCTAAATTGATGTTCTCATGCCTCAGCAGTTGGAGATACATGTAAAAGCTCTTTGTCCTTCTTACTTTTGCTTTCTCATTGTGGGGGTGAAAATACACCATAAATCCTGCTGACAGCTATGCCAGCATTTGCGGACACAGTCAAATGCGGTGTGGACACCTCTTAGCCCATCTTACAAGGAATGAACAGTATTCATTACCAAAAATTTCACTGACCTCAAATCTGTTCCTGTCAGTCGGTATTTTTCCATTGACTTCAGTGTACTTTGAAATGGGCTTAATGGAGGTGAATTCTTTTGTTTTAGGCAGCATTATTGGATTGTTCCTTTATAATTGCTTTATGAAAACCTCTACAGCTTATATAGATGCAGAGAGTGCACGTGGATACTTTCTAAAATCCTAAAAGAAAGAAGCAGGTTTACAGGTTAACTGTAAATACTATGATCTCATAAATGACCTGAAGAAACAGTGTTACAGAAAAACATGTTCAGATCTGTCTGCCACATATACTGAGTCTATAAAGACAAATAAATAGATTCTGTACATTACTAATATTAGTATTTTCCATACATATATAACTTACCCTACATATATTTATTATAGAACAGAGAGAAAGATTTCAAGGTCTCTGCTCAGGATATCCTCTGCCCTCCCACTCCTCTGTATACTTCAAATTCAGTGTTATCTCTAAAACTGTTGTACTTAGGGTTAGATGTAACCATGTCCCCTGTGATTTCTGGAACTGAGAGCCTACTCATGAATAATTACCATGCAGATTCAGTATTTGAATTATACACAAGATTCCTAGTTCTAATCTAAGATCTGTCAATAGTTCTGTAACTTTGTTTATATTTTTTCTATGAATTTATGCCCAAGTTCAAAAAAAGACACTTTTCTATATCCTTCCTCCATCACAAAAATTAAGCACACACATGGAGTATTCAGGTGATCAACAAACTTCTGGTACTTGAAATGGTTCTAGGATCATACTGGTCATGCTGAAAGTGCTAACATTCTTGTCACACTAAGCCTTTGAAATACCAAATTTTACACCTTTCCTGTGGAACAAAATCATAAAAAGACATAAAACAATCAACCTAACAACAGACTAACAGTCTAATGTTCAAAGAGTTATTATTCAATTGTTAAGATCTTTCTGAGACCTGATTTATAAAAACTGGTAAAGACAGCAGACTGGTTTGCAATAAAAAATATCTGCTATTGGGCACAATCAAATTTAATATACTGGAAAAAATTTAAAGAATAATTTTCTGCTAAATACTTCCTTGCTCCATTGAACATTGCTTTGAGCATTGCATTATACCTTATCTCATTGCACTGATAGCAGTAGGGTAATTTTATTACCTTAATAACACAACTGCAGTTAGCTAACACTGCACAATTTAATTCATATAAGGAAGAAAAATATTAATTTCTTTTAAATAAGGGACTGCTTTTAAAAAGGCACTAACTGCATCCAAAAGGACACATAAGAGAGCTGTGCAATGTTAAATAAAGGAGTGAAGTAGAATGAAAAATGTTATGGGATGCCTCTTTTCATTTAGCTAAAACTAATACCTTCTTCTCCTTCAACACCAACCACTGGAACAGCTCAGTAAGTGCTGGAACTGTTCAGGCAGAATTTTGTGCACGTGGTTGTGAAGGACAACAAACAGGGATAAGACTGGGGAGAAGGAGGAGTGGTGGAGTCGTGGGGAGAGGGCTTTG